AGTAGTATGTGTGTGTGTGTGTGTGTGTGTGTGTGTGTGTGTGTGTGTGTGTGTGTGTGTGTGTGTGTGTGTGTGTTCATTGCTATCTAATTTTAATTTTTTATTATAATTAGCAATTGGAATTGTTTAAGTGTATAAATCAACGTCTACTTATGGTAAATTTGAATATTCCTCAACTGTAAAAATTTGTGTTTACTTTGCGAATTCAAAAATGTTTGTATAAAATAAATATTCTTGCAAAAAGATCTTGTGATATAGAAAGGTTTGTAAGGAAAATTGCGTGTTGCGATAATAATGATGTCGATATTAATGCATGCACGCAAGTTTATAGAACTACATGCATTTCTAACGTCGTTAAAATTATTATGCGCTCTTCTAGCATAGGAAAAATACGGGCGTCGACGATCGACGATCCTGATGACACGGTGACATGAAACGTGATAGGAATTTATCTTTTGATAAACGTCGCTCGGTGATCTCGTCTCGCGATTGAGAACCTGACGTTAAATGAAACTCGTTATTTTCATCCCGCGGATCGATCTCTTTTCTTTTTATGGCGACAGGCGACTTTTTATGTGCGCCTATTGCGCCATTATTCGCGTATTAAATGTTGACCGCATTTCTCGGACAATTTGCACCCTTTGCAACATGCCTAATGCGCTACGTTTATGCTAAGCCGTTTAATTTTTTTGAAAAAGGAATATTTTATTTTATCTTTTATCTATATGTCGGGCGACGCAGAAAAACGTACTTATTGTTAGATGACCAATACATATATAAATATTCTTGTTATTTATTTATTAAAATTGCTGAGCGAAAACCAACAGTTATAAAAAGATTAGACAGCTATTAGAAAAATAATAAGAACGACTTGTATAATTGTAAACTTACTCACATCTTATTTAAGGGATGAATTTACTCGTTAATAACGCGTAGTGGGAAACATGTCGGAAAATACGGAGGTTGGATCCTTAAAGGTGACAGCTTTTCTTTGGGGAGAAATTTTGGTTGGTTGGTTTCCGACAGTGGTAGTCATAGAGTTATCTAATATGCACATATTAGGCGGAACATACATGTAGGAGCGACCGCGAATTGCCTGTTCGGCGGTCGTATCGATCTCGAATTTCCGTTCTCCAGAGAATCGTAACTCGCAAAGTAAAATTCCTAAAATAATATGCGTTCGAGAACGACTTTTTAAATTCCCATCACATTCGTCACGCTTTAGAGTCTCTCTAAGGTACGAGAAAACGATCTTTTTATTTTACTTCTGTAAAATTGTGGCCTGACATTATTTTATCATTTTGAAAGAAATTATTAAAGAAATATTACATACAAAAAGTTTAACGAGTCAAGTAATCTTAACTAAGAGAACGAGAAAAAAGATTCAGAGTGCATGATGCAGAGACGGGAAATCGAGTCCGATTCGTCGTCCAGGCGAATATATCAGCGATATTTCAGCTCGATATTTCAGCAAGGACCGTATCTTTGCGTGCCAATTCGTCGTAAAGACGTCATAAAGACGTCTTTTAGATAAACTCGACAGCAGCTATCTTTGAATCAGCGGAAGAATATTTTTCTCCATGCGCTTGAAGCGCTCGTTGCTGTCGATATCGTGACGAATAACTACAATCTATCGCTTTTAACAATAAAGATAAGGTATAAATAAGATACAAACAGGTGAGAACAATTTTTAAATTAAAATCATGTTCTATCTTCAATATAAAGTTTTAGGATTAACCTATTAATTAAGATAGATTCTTGATTTGCTTTTAATGGATTAGCAGAAATATCATTACGGAAAATTTAGTTTCATGCAAGAAGTTTATATTTACATTAGTGCCTATTTATATTAAATAAAGTTGAAAAATCAAAACTCTTCAAAATAGGAATTTAAAAAAAAATCTTCTAATAATAAAAAAATAAAGAAATATATTGAAATATGTTGCGATGGTATTTTTCTGAAATTTAATTTTTTATTTTATTTGGTTGACATACGTAATAAATCTTTTACGCTAATTTACTATTTTGTGCGATACTAATCTCAAGAATAAATATTAATAATAATAGTAAAATTAATTATTATTATTAATATTAATTAAATATATCAAGTTAATAGTAGATAGTATTTATTAAAGAATTGAGTTTCTACATATTCTCAGTATTTTTTTCTTTGTCACATTGAAAAACACCTATAAAAGTATCTTGTAAAGTACGGTGGTCTTTATCAGTCTAGAAAAATGTCTTCTGTAAGCTCATGCATTCCGGGCATGTTTATCATCCTGTCGTGACCCAACCCATTCCATGTCGTGGAACTAAGTGTCCATGGGAAACACCTCGAGCATCTTTTAACGATTAATCTTCTCAAGTTACGATAATGAGACTATAACGAGAATGTAAAGAGAGTGTCACATCACTAATCGCGTGAGTAAGATCGAAATTGAGCATCGAAAAAAGTTTCACTGCTATAAGTTGTAATTAAAAATATTGCCATTTTTAAAGTCAGAATTTTTAACAAAATCCTTTAGATAATAATTTAGCAGGGTTCACGCTATATGCCACAATATTAAATTATCTGTTTTATATTTTACTTCTAGCATAAAATTCACATGTCAGATATATATGTCCGTTGCACCGTCTCATTTTACGGCTGCTGACTATTTGAAAATGATTTTCGTTCGAGAGAGAGAAATTTTAAATTGATAATTATTCTATCAATTCGAAAACATTTTCGAAAAGCTCCTGGTATTTCAATTTGACATATTGATTTTGCATGAAATTAAAAGAATTAACTTGCAAAAAGATGTTAAAATGTTAGATGAGACAGTTGTTATTTGTAACAATTAGTAATAGTCTATCACAATAACAATCTATCAATAACTTTTATTTTAAAACTAAAAATAAAATAAAATAATTTCTTCTTATATATATATATATATATCGTCCAAATAAAATTAATAAGCTTAACTTATTCTTAGATGATTAATTGTTGAGATTTTCATGATACAAGAAGAAAAGTGCATGTGCTATAACACATTAAAGAAATTGTGCAATTATGCATAAGCGGAAGAAAGCATACATCAAAGTAGAGAGATCCATTCAGGATCTCCTTTCAACGAAGAAAATTAGTTAACGGGGGAAAACTTTATTTTAAATACTTAACGTTTGAAAAAAATTAGCGTATTAAATTATGTCCGAAATAAACAAGTCACAGATGAAGTTTTTCGAACTGTGGTACAAGATTACACAAAATTATATTGCTAATGCAACAATGGCTCTTTTTTAAACATAACATTTCCACCGTTGGTATTCTCCTTGCATTCAATCAAAAAACGCATTTCTTACTTTATGTCTTTTAATATTAAAAGACACATGTGACTGATGTATCTGTGAGTATGCAGTGCACATGCAGTGCACATGCGGTGCACATGCAGGTCAGAAAGTAATTCAGGAGAAAAAGGAGGGTAGTCGACAATGGTAGCGGCGATAGGTGTGGGAGGTTTTACACGTGAGAACATTGGCGGCGTGCCATATAAGCAGACTGACCCACTTTTAACGCATAGATTGACCTGCCTGGCGCCATTTTAACTTCGAGCCGTCGAATAGTCGCCACCCTTGATCCCAGTCTTTCCAGGTCGCCGCGCAAACGGACTGTTTAACCCTAAGAGAGGCCTGGCCAGGCCTGGATTTTCTGATAATTTTCAGCACCATGTAATTAGGACGCTGTGCGAAAAAAAAGAGACATACGGAATACCAGTTGCAAAATTCTCTTTAAAATTTTCACTCTTCGAACTCTTGTTGGTACATTTTTTAATGATAAAAAAATATTAATTTGAAATCTTCGTTTCACTCAACTCTATATAGATGCAACAAAATTACAAATTTTTAAATTATTGATTAAGTTATAATCGATAATTATTTCAGGAGAAGTAGATTCAATATCTCATTTATTCGATTGAGAAAGTAAACGAATCTATATCAAAAGAAATACAAAGGAAGCTCAATTTGAACTTGTGTAATTGAAGTCAACACTGTACACTAATCAAATTTTGGCTAACTAGAAAACCGCGTATAAACTTTCCAGAGGGTGTATGCAGCCTGTGCTACAATTGTTCTTGTTTGCAATTTTATATGATCGGAATCAACGAATTGGTATTACAATATTGTTTTTTTCTTTTTAAAAGTATCATTATCCTGCTATCAAATGAATAGAATTTAAAAACAGTCCGGATTAAAAAAGAAATAAAATAGAGATTACAACTTCCATCTGTATCAGCTGCAATTACAAGCCGATACAACTTAGCTGTGATTATCTTCTTGCAAATAGAGCAATCTAGTATATAGAGTATAATTTATGGAAGCGATTACAGGTAAAATATAATGACTTTTTATCAGCTGCGTAATTAGTAATCCGAGATAATGTCCGATTTATTACAACATTATCCAATTCATTGTAACATTAAATTCTATGGATCCACCCTTTTGTTATAATATTTAAGTAATTGCGTTTTTTAACATAAAAGCGGGAGACGCATGATATGAAATTTAACACAGCTCGAAAAACTTATAGCCGGGATGAAAGAATTTGCCCTCTGGCGAACTGGAGTCATTTCATTCCTTTTAACGACTCGCGAGGATTATAAAGCTGAATATTTTTCCGAATTGGTATGTATTATCCGAGAGAAGAGTCCTTCGGTCTTCTGTTGAATGTCGTAGGATAGATGGGCTACTATTCATCGACAATACAGCAATCAGACGTCTTTGAAAGAGAGACTAGTCAGCTCTTTTGCAAAGCATTATTAACATTCCGAGGATAAAAATTGAGAAAATATATATATATATATATATATATATATATATATCGAAGAATCTTATAAAATTTTTACACGCGTATACGTATTTTTCTTTTACATATAATGAAATACATGTTTATATTGAAGCGATGTCTTGTACACTTGTAAACTTTCCCATTGCATTGTTGTCGCAATAGGGAAATCTCTGTGCGAGATGTCCAATTTCTACGAATGTGATATTTTTTGCGATAAATACTTATAAACATCCTTATATACGTTTATTATATTAGTAATATTAAATTAATTATCACTTTAATGATGTGATGTATTACAATTCTAACTATAGCAAAAATACTGCCTTTTACGACCGAATAGTAATTAAGGTTAAGCGTGGTTAAAATGTACTATAATTAGATATGAAATATGATTACTTATAAATATGAGATTTCTTGTTAATAATCGAAAATATTAATTCTTATTAAGCCAGTATACGCTCGTATCGATCGATAATCATTTATTAAAATATCTAGAGTTTCTGTCTTTCTGCACGATAAAAAACTTGATAAATCCGAACTTTGAAAATAATTCGGATTAAAAGAAAGGAAAAATTAAAATTTTCATATGTGCTGATCAATTTTATAAAGCTAAATAAATGATCTATAACTCACGTCAGATTTTAGAATAAACTTCCATCTATAATTATAATGGCTGCATTTTTATATACATGTATATATCTTAGCATGCATGCATGCATGCATGCATGCACATTGATTCTTCAAATATTTTTTTATATCATAAAGTTACACATAAAGTTATAAAATAAATTTTTATCCTCAAGTCTGAGTGCAAATTACATATTGTTTAAGCCAAAATTTCTTGTGCATATGAGATATATATTCTTTTCAAAGGAAAGTAACACAAGATACAAGCACTAAGCACAATTATACGTGCTTAATACGCGCAATATAAAAATTTGAAAAAAATATTAAAAATTTTAAAACATTTAATGATATACTTTTCTTTCAACGATCATTTTTTTAGACTTGTCCGGTAGGGGCCAGCAGAAATTTGGCGACAATTGTTTGACGGACAATGAGTGCGGCTTTGCTGGGTCCTATTGTGAACCGAAGAAGAACAAGTGCGCCTGTAAGGAAGAATTTGAGGCTACGAATCATATTGACAAGTGCGGACACGGTAAGTTGGTATGCTATTTGGTGTTCTGCACGTTGGTATTTCTTTACGCGACCATATATACATATATAAAATATACGAAGACCTTGAAAGGGAATCTCAATTCATAGGGAGAAAATTGAAATGGAATTCTCTTTCATGGAATTTTCTGAGTTGCAGCGTTATGAAATTGCATCACGCGTCATCGTTGTTATAGTAAAGATAACGTAAAATTTTATTAAAATTAAAGAAACTAACTTCAAAATGTTGTGTCAAGGGATGTTATAATATAGCCATAATTTATTAGCTATGCGTAAAATAAAATTTAGCAAACAAAGAAATCTTATGTTGGGGAAGCGAACCAACATGGCGCATGTACTATTGCGATTAATTTGCATACGCGAATGTACCTAGCTAAACGGGCTGGTATTATCTCGATCGAGAATAATTTCATTTCCTTCTTGGCCAAGTTGCCATATCCAATCACGATTTTGCACATGATATCACATGAATCACGTGATGAACCGTGCAATCTCGCAAACAAACAAGTCGATCCCGATTATCGAACAAACTATGATAAACAAAAATATAAAAATATTGTTAGCGTATACATACATAAAAAATAGATTCCATTACTTTAATGAATTAATAAAAAAATCGAAAGAGAGAGTTTTTAAGTTTATTCAACGAAGAAAAAGTTTTTAGTAATTGTTATTTGATATCTCAAAAAAAAAATTTGTCGATGAATATTCGGAATATACGCTGACCTCGAGAGAAATGTTTCGTTGACGTGCACGTTATGCAGATAGTTGATATGTTGGAAATATTTTCAAATACTTTTTTACGACACATTTGGTATATTTTCTCTTTATACTCTGCGACCATATATGGCGAATCCACTCTGAAAATCATTTTTTAGCGGCGAATGTGAACGAGTCCTGTTTCTTCCGCGAGCAATGCGAGGTGCGAGTGCCGCAAACGGAATGTCGCGATGGCAGATGCATTTGCCTCTTCGAAAAGATTCCAGAGATGCAGCCGGATGGTGCAATAATCTGCGTAGGTAAGAAAGGGAATTCTCAAGCAATAAGAATTACGCGATAGCCTTAATGAAAATCCTGTCGTGCCCTCACGATTTCAACGCGACTTGGCGAGAATTGAAAGTGCTAGAGAATTAATGAAGCTTCTCTCCCGACACTTGCTCGATTTCGATATCTTTCGCATGCCAAGAATACCTTGTATAAAGAACGCAGAAGAACAAAAGTAAGAGATGCATAGAATGTAATTAACGAGATAAGGTAAAGAATGTCATTACATAATTCAATAAACTCTCCTTCGTTTCAAGAACATATTGTCACTTTTACTTTTAAATATCAAAGATTTGGGAGTGTAAGTTTTTTTATAAAAAAAATTCCTAATGAAAGCAGAATGGCCAAGTTATTAATGAAGAATGATTGATGGCTTTAAAATATGTATAATGTAATTAATATAAATATTCTTATATTCAATGTATTGTTTTCTTTTAAATTCGCTTTTTTTACGTCTTACACCAACAGTGTGCGTTTGACTTTTAACTCGTCCAGAGCATGTGAGATTTAATTTACGAACTCCCAGTTTCGTGGTCCCTAGTGTAAACCAACAAATTTGTTTTCAGCCGAAGTCAAAGAGCCAACCAATCTCCGGTACATCGATCCGGCGATGATCGGCGTTCTCGTTGGCATGGCACTGATGTTCGTTATCATTTGCGTCGTTCTTAGACTCTTCAGCAAGTAAGCGGATTAGTTCGATTAACATTATAAGTAATCTCTCGCGATTTTTAATAAAATAAAGCATGTTTTGATTAAACTTGTACTTTTGATTTGTTAGAAATACAAATTGATTCTTGCATATCAACCGTAAATAATTAAAACATTAAGCTTAACCCCGTAGGAAAGAATTAAAATTGCACCCTTGTGACGATTTTAATTATAGATTTGAATTAAAATGAATTTGAATATAGATATGTGTTTAACTCAGATGGCCGTTATTTCATTCGAGAAATTGCTATGTTAGGTAAAATAATCACAAGCAACTGTTAGGTTTCAAAATTATCACGTATTTGTAGAATGTTTCCAAAACATTCAACATGATTACAGTTTTGAAAAATATTATCACGTGTCATTGTATTGATATTTCCACTGGAAATAATGCAGCATTATTCTGGCACCATTCATTACAGGGAAATAAGTTGTTTGCTATATACAAAATTATTTAGTATTTGTCAACTTCGATTTTATGAAATACCCACGCAATTATATGTATCCGCAATATATTGCTTTTTTTAAAGTTTTTTTTGTCATTCAGAATAAGATGTATGGAAAAAACACGATTGTAATTAAATTATATTTAAAAAGTTTCTATTTTCAAAGCTAAAGTAAAAGCATCATGTTAGCTTACAAAACATTCGTAAATTTTGAGAGATACTTTGAATAGCCTTTGAATAGCCTTATAATCGAAAAATCTCGAAAGATTTGCTGTATCGAGTCTCAGGCATGTTCTATGTCCAATACCATAATGTCTTCTACCGTAAGAGAAACATTTCTTTATCGATAAGCAAGCAAAACAATTCTCTTGCGTGAAATTAAATCCTGCGTTTGTTCTCATCCATGTGTGATGGGGGATTGCAGGGCTCGCTGGCGGGAAAACCGTACCATCTTTAACACCCCCAACGCGCGGCTAATGAACGTCTCGTTGCTGAGAGAGAACAAGCTTTTGCACGCTCAAGAGAGACGTGGTTCGAGGACAAGCGTACGAGCTCCGTCGAGGCAACCTTCGATGGCGTCCTTAAGGGCTCACTCGCCGAACGCCTCGCAAGGTGCGAAACACTCTCATCACTCACAGCACAGAATCAGCCGTACGGGTTTTTTTCATTCACTTACTAAGCAAGCAACTTGTTATACAAAGTTCCGTATACAAAATAGAGCAAGTGACTCTCTCTCTCTCTCT